CCCGGTATCGACAACAGACTGACTGGCCTATAATTTCCCGTATCTCCTCTGGAACCCTTTTTAAAGATTGGAGTGACATTAGCTACCTTCCAGTCCTCAGGATGAATGGAAAGTACTTACTACTCTAATATTCAAGCAGACTAACAAACGATTAATACAACAATTATAACCATCCAAAAAGAAATTTAAAAGATAAATGGAACTAATTAAAACCACAAACATTAAATATTCTGGATGCCACTACTGAAAAGGCCCTGAGTCTATTACTTATCTAACTTCTGTCAGAGACCTGTTGATACGCATCAACAGCTAGGTTGAAGTTGCATCCTTGCATGGCAGCGTTTTAGGGATTTTAGGGCTTTGTTGGTCAATACTAACACTTTGAATTGTGGCAGGGTAAACAATGTCTTTGTATCTAAATGAATCCTGAGAACACAGTCAGGAGTTCTGGAATGAATCTCAATTTTCTCTTCATTGATTTAGAACATTTATATGCCACTTTTCCAGAGACCTACTTGAGGTGGCTCACAAGGTAAAATACAGTGAAATTATACTAGTCCTCATCCAGTCCAAACCTGGCTCCAGGTACATTTTCATTACTTCATGGGTCTGAGGTAAATGAGAAATGTAGCTAGGTGTCACCATGTTGATGGCACCACACTCTGAGAGCCAGTTTGGTGTAGTGGTTAAGTGCGCGGACTCTAATCTGGGAGAACCGGGTTTGATTCCCCACTCCTCCACTTGCATCTGGCTGGATGACCTTGGGCAAACCATAGTTCTGATAAGAGCTGTTCTTGAAAAAAGCAGTTTCTGTCAGAGCTCTCTCAGCCCCACCTACCTCACAGGATGTCTGTTGTAGGGAGGGGAAGGGAAAGGGATTTGTAAGACACTCTGAGACACCTTTGGGTAGTGAAGGGCGGGGTATTAATCCAATCTCTTACATAGCTCATAGCACAACCCTTACACAGCTCATAGCACAAATGTTATAAGTAAGTACAATATGAGTTTCCCATCACAAACAGCTGAAACATTCCTATGCTAGACGGTAATTGGAATCTATTAAAATAGTGCTCACATTCATGGATGTAGAGAGGACTTTATTGTCCCACTTGCATAGGTGTTGAGGTCATTAGTATTCTGTGCAGCTGATAGGAATGAAGGTTTCTGCATATCAGTCTTCCAGTGATCCCTCTCCTCCTCTCTTCACTTAGCTCTTGCTGGGAGGAGAAGAGGGAAACAGTGTGCCCCCCCCCCCGGCGCTTCAGTTTTCTTGCTAAAATTTGCACCTGCAGATACTTTGCCCCACAGGGGAAGAACAGTTACCCTTTTCCATATGAGGGATAATGTATATTAGAGAGTAATTTTAAGCAGGAAAATGACTAGAAGAAGAGTAGGTTTTTTTATACCCTTCTTTTCTCTACCCTAAGAGTCTCAAAGGGGCTTACAATCACCTTACCTTCCTCTACCCACAACAGGCAACTTGTCCAGTAGGTGGGGCTGAGAGAGTCCTGAGAGAACTGTGACTGGCCCAAGGTCATACAGCAGGCTTCATGTAGAGGAGTGGGGAATCAAACCCGGTTCTCCAAATCAGAGTCCACCACTCTTAACCACCACTCCATGCTGGCTCTCCCTAGACTAGGGAGGTACATGTACAACTACACATAGTTTCATTTTGAGAGTCAAGTCCTTTCTGTGAATTTTTATAGCTCTCCAGTTGCTCCTAAGGATTCAAAATAATCATGGACTACTAGGCAAAAAGACCTGTGAATACACAACATTGGTGCTATCCATTCTTGTTCCAGGGGTCTTTCTTGCACAGCCAAGATTAGTTTGTCGTTCTAAGGTTAACTTTTTTTGCATGAATATATCTATAGAGAAAACACTGTGTCTCTTTGGGCTTCTGTTCCTTAAAAACGTAGGAGGAAATCAGCCAATGTTGAACTGTCCATGTCTTTACGAAGAGCTTTTCTTTTTACCATTCATCACCCTTACTCAAAAAAACTCATCATCAAACGGTGCATCACATCTGTCCACAGTGACACAGCTGTCTGCAGTCGGGAGTCTTGGTGACATAGGCAGCCATCATCACTCTATCACAGCAGTCCATTCAGACACATGCAAGGACTGGCTTAAGAGAGATTGGCAGGGGAAAGGCTCATCTCTTATAATCCAACGATTGCAGTACGAAGGAGAGTTTCATCCAGCACCGTTTCCGGCAGCAACTAGCTCCACACCACTAGGAAGCTCACATGAATGATGATGCCAGTGATGACTATTGTTGGCAAACTCCCTCTGTCTCCTTATGAAAAAGACCATTTCCGGTTACTTGTTCACAATAACTGGTAACCTGGACACATCTTTCCTGTAAGTGCATGTGTTTATAATGTAGGTCATATTTAATCTAGTTGGGTCCTATCCCAGGATTTGAGGTGGGTGATAATGGAAGAATACAAAATCAACGGCAGAATAACAAGGTAAGCAGCTGGCTACCGGTACTTTTTCTTGGCCCTCATCAACAGCATCTATTTGGATGTCTACTGTTGGACATCTCTCTTGTCAGCACCTTCTGCCAACTCCTTAGGAAAAAGCCCTGGCTCAAAACTGGCTTCTTACATGATGTTCCTCACTTGATTACTACTACACCAGCAGCTGAATGTGTGAACCAACTCCATTGAAAAGCTTTGTGAGTGGATTGGAAAGTTTAATCTCTGGTGATGCATTCTCTGATGACCCATTCATATGTGCAAGATATCATTTGATGTTGAGATTCCTTGTGTGATAATATGGATGTGTGAATCAGCCCTTCCACCCCAAGAACCACTATTCTAACACCAGCTCTATTTTCACCTACCTGGGCTTGTTTGTGTTTGAACATAATGTTGTATTTCAGAGCAGCTCCATCTTTCAAGCCATGTGGTACCATTTGGCAAATTCTTGTCAGGATCTGGCAGGATCAAGATGTCCCATTGTGGTTTTGAATTTATGCATGAATGCACAAGGCAGAAATGGCCCAGCAAGATTTGAAAGCTGCATTCGCGTTCTGTGCCATGTACGTTTTACAGCACCTGTTCATAAGACGCAGCACACACCTCCCTTCACTTGTTATTTCCTTGCAGTGAGTTTCTTACAACAGTGTTCTGCTTCCTGGTATCAAATTTGGAACTGTGGATTGGGAACAGAATATTGGCTAGACTGAGTAGGATCCAGGTGCCTAATCTAAAGTCACGCATCAGTTGCTGGGGAGGGGTGCCTTGGAGCTAAATTAGTTTGGATTTTGGTGCAGAGTGATGGATGCACCTGTCCTTAGATGCTACAGTTTGAGGGACTGAGGCCAAAACCCAGCAGGATCCAGGTAGATGATGCTCTCAGGTCTGTGTCTCCCACGCCCAAAGCAAGGAAAACATGAGAACAGAACTTGCAGCCGGCGTTTTCCAGTGGGGTTGATCAAGATTTCTTTTAGGGTTTTGTTAAAAAACCATTTAAAATGCAAATGCCTCTCCCCCCTCTGGTCAAGGAATTGCTTTCTCAGACAACTGTCTCATTTCTTGCCGTTTTAATGACACAGGGGGGTGGTTACATTGACTACTCTCACAGTAATAGAGAGGGACAAACCTCGTGACTCTTCAGAGAAAAGTGGATGGTTAAAATCTAATTATTTTCCATGCCCCCAAGCCTTCCAAAATGAAACTTCCAGGTAGCTGGAAGCATAGACAGAAAACCCTGGAGGTTGCTGTAGGCATGTTGAAATGGCCTGGTAATGGCATTACAATGAATATTTTAAATTGCACAAGTATGTCTCTATAACCGTTAATGTGCCTGTTTGCTGCAGATGAACTTTCAGCTAACTCTGGAGGTTGCATTGCATTTGTCGAAGCTGCTGCTATGTCTGCTGAATTTTTCAGGAAAGCATTTTTAAACTGGATTTAAAATAGATATGAGGGCTTTTTTAAATGCACAGAGTACCTCTTGGCATGTGTAGAGTGCTTTTTTCCGAGTTGACCAGCCCCTCCCCCCGCACACATCTGGAATTAGGTTTCCAGGAGTCTTTTCCTCCAGGGAAAGGTTGGTTCTTCCTGTTCCTCTCGTTTTCGAAGAGAGGCCTTCCTCCCTGGACTCAAGGTGTGTATCCAACCTGGGCATGGAACTCCAACTAGCCCTGGAGGTTGCTTGGGGGTAGGCTGAGAAGGTCTAGCCGCAATCTTCCTGCTGTGAACATTTCGGAAGGAGTGCGGGCATGCACGCCTAGCCGTGCATTTCTGACCGTCCTGCAGATGAAACCTGTCCAAAGGCTGCACATTCTTTTGCAAAACGTGGCGTGGCATTCCGGCAAGAAGCGCGCGGGGTGCGAGAAAGGCCACCCACCCACCCCGGCTGCCTTGGGCTGTGTGCATGTGTGTGTCTGTGTGCGCGCGCGGGGGGGGGGGG